TCGTCTGGGAAGAGCCTGTGTTTCTTTGGTGACTGTGTAAGGAGAATTAGGAAGCTAAAGCAGCTAGGCACTTGAAACTCTGTAATGCTTGTAGAACAGAAGGTGTAACGACACGGATATAAAAAACATGACTGATGCTGCAGAAAGTATTCTTTTGGACAACAGGACTCTTGACATAATTGTGTAATGATTGATACAGCAACTCACAGGAACACAATCTAACCTCAGCTCTGGACAGATATAGAAGACAGTACCTCTCCCTAAATGCATGCAGTACAGAAGATAGACAACAGAGAGGAAGTGGTAAATACTTGAAGCAGACAAATCAGTTTGGCAAAGTGGGAACATAGAATAAGAAAAAAGAAATAATCTTTTTTTACCATAAAATGAAAACGTCTCCACTTATCTAAACAATGTCAGATGGAAGAACTGTATCATGGCAAATGATATAGCTCACAAATAGAGCAGCAGTAATAGTATGTATGGAGCCTAGCGATGATTGTGCATATGAAATGTAACTCCACATTTCAGGAATCAGTAATAAGTAGGTCATAATTCAGTTACGTCTGATAAATTTTAAGTCTGGTAAGTCTACATGCCCACCCATTTCATGATGCATTTTAAAAATAGTTGTCATTAATTGTACTTACTTTGTAGGTACATTTTTTTTCATTTCTGCATTACTTAGGTACATCATATTTTGATCATAAATACGGGAAACAAAATACCTGTGTTTTGTGTTTTCTTTAAAGGACCAGGTCTTGTTACTTACTCTGTTAAAATACACACGGCTTTATTTTTCAGGGTTCATGAATCAATACATATGGAATCCCTTGTGTGCTTGCAGCACGTATGTTAACCTATACACACAGCATACATACAAGGAATCTTCACAGCTCAGAGATCAAGAATTCATTCTCTGAGTCCACTGTTGATCAAATATATATCTAACTAATTTCATTGTAAGAAAGATCTGGCCGGTGAGGCACAAAGCTGGATGAGAATTGCAGATCTGCAGAAGGGGCAAATGCAACCTAACAGCAAAATACCTGTTTTACTGTGGCCAAGCCACCTTGCAGGGTCAGCACAAGCAGAGAGGCAGCAAAACAGCGTCTGGTGGCAGATTGGGAAAAGGTAGCCTGGGAGAAATGAAAGCTTGTCTGGGCACAGACTAAGGGCTCTGGATTCAGGCAACTCATGAGGCAAGCTGGAGGTCTGCCTACCAGTCCTCCGGTACTAGCCAGAGGCCCTGGGGCAAAAACCACTGTGCTGGCACCACTACTTTCCTGTGAGATTTCTGGAAGCGCTGTGTATCTCCTTCCTGTTTTTACTGTAATCCCTTGGGCTCCTAAGAGAAGAGACACTGCATGTAGTTTAGGTATAAAAGGGAAGAGGAAGGGGAAGAAGTAAAGGGGAAATGGACACAAGGAGAAGAAAGGAACCCAGGTATAAATCATGAAGCATTTGCCGAGAGTGTGATAACACGGTACATTAAAAAGTCATTAAATTCATGATCTCGAACTCAAAACTTTAAATGAAATTAAATCTTCTGATTTAAACCAGCCACAAGCCAGGAAATTCAGGCTTAAGAATGGGATCCTTTTAAAGTCGTTTTATTTTAGCTTGGTTTATCAGTATACTTACCAGGAGCAAATGTGCCCTCTGCGAATTATACACATCATGAAATCTCAAGCTGTCCTGCCAAGACCTGGTGATAAGTTGCTATAACAGCAGCTTGGGGTTTGAGAAATGCACTTTCCTTCGCACTCATGGCAACAGGTGACCTAGTGGTAATGACATCATTAACACATTTCACCTTTTTAAGCTCTCCCGCTGGTGTTTTACTTACACCAGTTTATGGTGGAATCATTTCATTTTGGTGTTTCAAATCCCTTGTGTTCTTAATGGTATTTTTAAGAAAATAAACAGAAAAATGGAAGGAGGAGACTCTCCTCTGGAATATGTGATGTGGGAGGAAATCATCTGTTTGCATCAAAAGATTCCGTCTTGTATGAAAAAGAACTTGGGAATTTTTATAGCATATCAGATAAGATTGCGATCAATATAATTCAATTTTCCCTTCAGGAATTGGCAATACCTGCTTTTTAATAAGCAGTTATTAGGTACTTACCACATTTTCTAACAGATTCTCCAGAAAGATATGTTTGCATTTGTTATGCAAATGTAGGTATGCATATTTTAAAAAAAGGGTAGTGTCTCAATTCATTATTTGACCAAGTCCTCGTGGACTCCCCACTCTAGGTACCATGCAGAAGGATCTTCTGTTACTGTTGTTATGCCTCTATGTCCTTCTCTAGGTCCCCTTCTGAGTACTGATTCTTTAGAAAATATTACTAAATTAATTGTTTACCGCTTCTTTTCAAAAAGCTGTTTTTCCTACACCTCTCAATTCTTTCTGTCGTGTAAATGCAAAAGAATCAAAAGCCACTATCTTCTATTTAACAATTGTAACTTAATAACATCCTACAACTGAGATTTTTGTTTACAAAAACATTTGTCCTTGACAACTTGCTCCCTACAGCAACAATATGAAAACAAACCTATTAACTCCTGAAAGTTATTTAGAAGAAGAAAACAAAAAAAGACAAACCCCAAGTACTTACAGTCCAGCATATAGCAGCAAACAGTACAGTATACGGGAGCATTTCCAAACTGTATGGGGCCAGATTTTATCTCCATTGCCATCAGTTGCACGTTTATCACTTAATTCAAAAGGATCAGGCCAAGATTCCCACACTGGAAAAGAGGCTTTCAAACAGGATTTATGTTGAACATCCAAACAAATCTGAGTATTTGACATCCAACGCTTGGATACCAAAACAACACAAGACAGAACTGTGTTGTCTCAAGAGCAGAAAGAAGTAATTGCTGTCTTGAACTACCTGATGGGAGGTTACAGAGAAGGTGGGGCCAGACTATTCCAGGAGGTTAAACACAAAAAGACAAGAGGCAATGGACAGGAGTTCCAACTAAGAAAATTCCAAACAGGTAGTAGGAAATCTTGTCTCAGTCATGGTAGTCAAAAAATGAAATGTGTTATCTGGAGAGGCTGCGGGACCTCCATCCTTGAAGACATTCAAACCTTGGCTGCCTATGACCCCAAGCAACCTAATCTGACCTAGAATTTGGCCCTGCTCTGAGTGGAGGATTTGGGCCAGATGTTCTCCAGGAGTGGGAAGGGAAGGGATTTCAATCAATCCCTGTTCAATTTTGCATGTTCGATCCTTAGACAGTACATTCCTAGACTGTAAAGAAATAGTAACAGATCATTCTGCAATTTATTTTTGTTCAGAATATGACTTACATTTGCTAGGAATGTAGTTGGCCAGTATACAGCTGTTAACTTAAAAAAAAAAAAATAGTAATATTAAGTCTAACTAAACAGGTTTTAAGAAGCCCTTGGTGGAAGTCAAGCAGGCACAGGTTGGAGACACAATACAACGGATGTTTGAAAAACTTTCCTTCTTTTTCAGGAAGTCATGTGACTTGTACCTTGTTTGAAAACAGCACACAACAGCAGTTGAAAAAAATTGGCTAATAAAATGGAAAGTTGTTTGCTGTAGTAAAATTAAATGTACCCTGTGACTGTCCACACCAATTGTCTCTGCTTAGGCTTTGTCTTTTACTGTTTTTTTCGCTGTATTGGGAAAGCTGAAGAAGCATGAGCAAATCCGCATCAAGGGAATGGAAACAAGGATTCCATTCATGGAATGACTGTGGTCCTCAAGACTGAATTTGTAAGATATGTCTATTCAGGCCAATTTTTCAAATGGCAAGAATTTGTGGGGGCCTAGCTGAATCTAAATGGTGTTACACCAATCGTGCCTGTTGAGGATCTGGTTTTACTGCACTGCAAGATGAGGAAAGTACAATTCCCAGTGTTTTTGGTATAGAAGCTGACTGAGACCCAGGAATGCACAGGTTATGGATACCAACAAGCTGCTGCAGGGCACAGACATATGGAATATCCATTACAGTGGCGATTTTGCCCCCACATGGCTTTTACTCTGTTACTTCATGGCAAACGGGCAATGTCCTGTACCTCCATCACCAAGCAAGTTACTTCCTTCATGGCTAAAGTAGGGGCATATGTCCCAGACTAGCTCCTTGCAAGTTGATCCCTAAACTGGCCGAACTGGCCACTTGGTCATTAATCCATACCTTACTTTTTCAGGTTCAGTGTACCCACACAGACTGGAGAACAAAACTCCTTAGTCTCAAGCTTACCAAAATGACCAAACACATTTCACAGATTTACACATCTTGTTCCTGTCACACCAAACGACATCAGACCTCAAGAAAACCACCTTCCAAATTTCACTGTTCACACTACATGCCATTTGATGCACGCTTCGTAGCCCTCCGCACCTCAAAACTGCATCTTCCCTGGGATTTTTATTTTTACTAACTTGGTACAAGTAATAACAGCATCTTCAGCTATAAACAAGAACATTAATTCTCCTATGCAAGGATGGACCACTTTAAGAATAAGCCTTTCGTAATGAAAGGAACATCAGAGAAGATCTTTGTTTACTACAAGTATCTCATTGTCTGCGCTGTAGCAAAGTGTACCGCCATCACTTCTCCACCTGTCTACCATACTGAGGCCAGTCCCTTAGCAGAAGGGTGCTAGCTGTGTTTCTGATTCCTCAAAATTCTCTGCATACACTGGATGTTCCAGAAGTCTTCACAAGACTCGGGAGCCTTTCAATTAACTGAGGTATGTTCAGTCCCCTGGGATAACCGTGACATCACAGGCGACATACCAAGTATGAAAGAATAGGAAAATGGTTGTTACTACCATTACTTTTTAACCAGAAATGGAAATACCCTGCCTCACTGACTTTTCAAAGAGCATCACCTATAGTTTGAGAGTTTAAGGGCCCTGGATATGGAACCATGTTTTTGCATTTCATGAACATTGTGAAGTTAAAGATTTTATTTAAAAGAACTTCTTTTAAAAGAAAAATAGTAAATGGCATATCATGTAATTGCTATTTATTTTCATAAACATGAGGTATTTCAAAGTGCTATAAGACGCAGCACTAAATGTACATCGTTGGAAGAAATTAAACACAGAACTTTGCAGTTACCCAGTTCTATGCACCAAACATTAACAAATACATTAACTGGAAGAAACAGGCTAGGAAAAGGCATATATAGTAAATTTCTTTACAAAAGTTTCTTAGTTCAAAAAAGTGATAAAGTAATATCTACTCAAAACTTTCACAACTCATTTTCATACGAAAATATAAGTATCAAATTTAGTTATGTATCAGCATCATACTAAAGTATACAGGCAATGTAAGAATTAGTACAGTACATAACAGAGATTAACAATATATTTGTATACAAAAACATGCTCCTCAAACATTGAGGTATTACAGTACTTAGGTATGAACTTCCAGTCTAATACTGGTAGCAAAAGCCACCTCTCATAACCCAAGACATGTACAAAAGGCAAGTGTGTAGATGGTATTTACAGAAAATTCCCACAGGGGTACAAATGCTAACCCCTAAAGTAACATCTGTTAGAACATAAGCACCATAAAATTTAGGAATGAACATTTTAAAACTCAACTAGATGTCATCAGCAGCTCCAAATGCTCACAACAATTAAAAAAAAAAAAAATCCCCACCATCTACAGTTCTTACGAGGAAAAACAAAGGCAGTCCATTGTTGTTTGGTAGTCTTGCAATAAACTCCTTGCAAGAACATCCATTTGCTCCGTACCCGGATAATATAGTTTGTCAATGACTTCAGGGACTGGATTGAAAGTAAAACCAACATTCTTAACGTCAAAAAACACAATTTTTTTTTTAAAGAATCAAAAATGTGCAAAGTGGCAATGACTGTCCTGGTCAGCCAAAAGAAAACAAACCAAAGTTTAGCAAGTCCGCTTGTATTCTATTTTCTTTAGCAACTGTTGTTGTCTGGCTTGCAATTTTTCCTTTTCTAGCAGTAATTTCTGCTCCTCTGCCTGAAGAGAATGAACATATTCAGTGGCTTTTTTCAAGATCACAACTTTTGCAGCTTTCTCATTTTTAACCAGTTCTGGAACATGGTCCCTTAATGTGAGGAAACTTGACCGTAGATCATTACGCCGCTGACGCTCCAGGATATTATGGTTGCGTCGACGTTCACTATCCTCTGAATCTGAGTTTCGAGGACTTGAACTCTTAGACTTTGGTTGGATCGTGGGTTTTACTGGACGGGGCACCTCGGTTTTTAACTTTTTCTGTGGCGGAGCATCTTCAGTCTCCATGTATGGAGAAGGAGCGGCATAATTATGCTGCTGGTGAATCGGTGCACAACGCTTCAAAATCAGTTCATTCTGCTGTGTCCTGACTGGTTGAAAAGTGGTATTTTTAGGACGCACTGTAATAGTAAGGGTGGTAACAGCCTTGTTGGAGGAGGAGCGTCTTTTCTCCACTGTCACAACATCTATTTCTTCTTCTTCATCCTCTTCTTCCTCATCTTCATCATCTTTTGGTAACAGAAAATGGAAAATAAAATAGACCTTAGACTCACAGAAAACACTCCGCATGAGTATCAACCCAGATGTATTTATTGACAAAATATTCACAGTAAAAGCAGCAATGAAATAACTGATGGGAAAAACAGGGTGTGCCCACCATCTATAGTCAGACACAGATCTGGAAAAGTATGCAATATGCATGAAATGACTGAAAAAGTGATTTCTGAAAGTTTCATAAGTTTAATGACTTTTCAAAAACACTTCGGATTTTCAATCAAAGCCACATAATCTCAGCGGCAGAAGAGTGTTTTTCGAAAGAATATACGTATTTTGAATTGAATCGTAGCACTGGGGTACAAAAGGCACGCACAGTGCCACAACACAGCCCTCGCTTGGAGGAAAAGCAGCCGGAAAACGAAACAATCGCGGGGTTTGTTCTGAGGCAGAAGGTGAAGCTGCTCCAGCCGGGGACCCTTTAAGCCGGCGCTTGGTGCACTGCCAAGAAGACAGCTGTTGGAAGTGCTTCCTCACCCAAAGCTGTCAAACCAGACATTAAAGGGACAGCAGGCTTTGAGACCCGGGACGGATCACCAAGTTTATGGCGATGGGCATACGGACCAGCTCATCCACACACGCGAAACCACGTTTCAGGCCAGGGGGGCTTCTCCGCGGGCACGGGCAGGAGATGTTCCAGGGCATTTTAGGTTCTTTACCAAGGGCAAGCGCTGCTCTGCGGGGTCACCAAGCTGCCCCAGCCCCCCCGAATCACGCCTAAGGGCACACACGCGGTCACATCCCCGGGGTGATGTGACCGGGCAGCCCTCTCCCCTCCAGCGCGGCCGCAGGGACGGGGCACGCCAGCTGCAGGGG